CCCCCCATCCTCAACTTGACTCATCACCCCCATGAGGGACATTCCTGGCCTTAAATTCTCTCTCTCGCTCTGTCTATTTCTCTGTCTGTCTGTCTCTGTATCTTTCTCATTCTCTCTCTGCCTCTGTCTCTGTCTCTTTCTCTGTCTTTGTCTCTCTCTCTCATTCTGTCTCTGTCTCTCTCTTCCTCTCTCTGTGTCTGCTTCTGTCTATGTTTCTCCCCTCCTATCCCTCCCCCCTCTCTCTCTCTCTCTCTCTCTCTATCTATCTATCTATCTATCTATCTCTGTCTCTATCTATCTATCTATCTTTCTATCTCTCTCTCTCTGTACCTCTCTCTCACTCTCTTTCTCCCTTTCTCTCTCCCTCCCCCTCCCTGTCCCTCTCAAATGGCCTCAAGTCCCCGTTAGTTACTTCGTGTAGCCCTAAAGCCCAAAGACCCGGTAAGCGCCACAGATTACCAGGTCTTGGCGGGATTCTGAAGGGTCAGACTCTGATGACGTAGTAGACTGGAGGCCAGGACATCGGGAGCGAATTCTCTCCTTACAGGGTACTTGATGATTGTGGGTTCCATGTGACTGGCGAAATTAAATATCAATATGTGGCTCCATGACAAAGTAAAGATTTTGAGAATACATAATGTACATAATGTTACTTGTTACTTGTTACTTGTGTGAAGAACCGACATCACTGCATAAGGGACATCCCCACTAGCGCCCCGTCCCCTGAAGAAGCACATCTCGAAGTGTGTAGATGCTGACGGTTCCAAGCAATGGTTGATTCCATAGCCTTTTGCTCATCCCCATAAGTCTTGAACTTCTGCAGGCGTCCCATCCAATTCCAAGCTCACGAAGTCGCTCAAGATGATGGTATTCCAACTCTTCTTGTTCCTTTTCTCGTTTTTTTTCCTGTACATAATGTAACCATTAAAGAATTTCACCGGCGTCTGTTTCGTAGCGTTAGGCGCTTTGCTGACGTATTCAGAAGACATGAGTTCGATTCCGGTGTTTGGACAAATCTTTTCTAGTATCCCCGTCTGCCTGGTGGGACATTGTATTCCTTTTAAGTTCAGGTAGGCCCTGACGTAGACAGATTCGAAGCAGCCTGCTTTCTGGATGATGTGAATCGCGGTCAGCTTGGGCGAATGGGGATACAAAGTCCCAATAGAAGGCGGAGATACTCGATTAAAAACAACCTTTTCCAATCGGGAATCGAACTCATTGCTTTTACGTGCGGTGGAAAAAGTGCTTAACCGTTATACTACGGACGCCGCTCTCCTCAAGAAAGAGCTTTTTCAGTTTTGGGAGGAATAAAGAAGACACAGTCAGCTACTATTTCAAAATCTTTGCCACTGCGTATACTCTCATAGTCGCCACATTGATAAACGGATGACACTATTGCTCTAGCGTATGGCGTGGACAGAGCTAAAACCTCGCTCAACAAGTTTTAGCGCCCTGTAAAGTGGGTTTTAGCAAGCCAAGAGATCATAGATTGATTAAAGTCAAGGCGAGGTCTTTTTCTTGAGGGAAGCCTGTAAGCCTAAGGTCTGGTATGGACTGGGGTGGGTGGGAGAGGGAGGGAGGGGGATGCCGTCGGGTAGGAGAGGAGGAAGATGGTTAATGTGAGGTGAGGATAGATCGAATAAGACAGATGTTGAGTGATTGGGAGGGGAGAAGGAAAGAGTGGTAGGAAAAGTGAGGAAGATAGTTTGTGCGGCAGAGAAAGAGGGGGAAGAGACAAGGGGTGTGTATCGGGGGGGGGGGGGGGG